ACTGCTGCTGCTAGTCGAGACCATACCAGATATTGTGATTTTCACCAGGATCACGGCCATACTACAGAGCAGTGTAACAGTTTAAAGTCTGAACTAGAAAGTTTAGCTCAGAAGGGAATGCTGAATGAGTATGTTCAGAGAGCTGAACAGCCGAGATTTGTCAGAGAACAGAGGCCACAGCCTCAAGGAGTCCGTAATCCCCCAAATAGGCAAGGTGTGGGATATCAGCAAGCCCCACCTCCGCTCCCACCACCAACTAGAATCATACACATGATTACGGGAGGCCTTGAAGCAGGTGGACTGAGCTCTAAGCAGCGAAAGCTGTATGTTAGAGAGGTTAAACAAAAAAACCGAGCTCAGAAGCGTAAGATTGACGATGCTGAGTGGAAGAATCAACCCATTACTTTCACATCTGCTGACCTTGACACAGTTGTTGCACCCCACAATGATCCTCTGGTCACTACTGTCATGATCAATAACTGTGAAGTACAGCGTGTCCTTGTTGACACTGGGAGTGCACCAGACATCATGTACTTCCATTGTTTCGAGAGTCTGGGACTAGATCCAGCATTGTTGTAGAAATATGACGGTCCTATCTATGGTTTCAACAACCAACCTGTTCCGGTAGAAGGAGTTCTTACCCTCCATGTGGCTTTTGGGAGTGGCCGGACCTATGTAACCCCTTCAGTCCGATTCCTCGTCGTCAAGATGGCGTCCTCTTTCAACATTGTCATTGTCTGACCTACATTGACTGAAATCCGAGCTGTGGTTTCCCAATCTCACCTCTGCATGAAGTTCCCAACTCCTATGGGAATAGCAACACTGCGAGGAAACCAATAGGTGGCCAGACATTGTTATATCACCTCAATAACACAACCAACAAAGGGCAAAGATCAGACACCCGAGGCCATTCCCCAGCGAATTCCTGATACTCAGCAAGTTATGGGTGTAGAGATCGTCGATAATCGACTGGACGATGAAGCCAGAGCTGCTCCAGTCGAAGATGTTGAAGAAGTGCTCGTTGATGACAGAGATCCAAGCCGAAAGACACAGATTGGAACTAGATTGAACCCAGAGGAAAAGGTAGAGTTAATAGCTTTTCTCCAAGCCAATAATGATGTATTCGCATGGACTTCGGCAGATATGCCAGGAATTCCAATGTCAACATAAGCTCAGTACCAACCCATTGAAGAAACCAGTGGCCCAGAAGCGGCGTCTCTTCGGGGGTGAGAGGCTTCAGGCTATTAAAGAAGAGGTAGAGAAGCTCCTACAGGCTGGTTTTGTCAGGAAAGTTGATTACTGTGAATGGGTGGCTAACCCAGTCCTAGTGAAGAAGGCAAATGGTAAATGGCGAATGTGCATTGATTATACAAATCTTAACCATGCCTGCCCCAAGGATTGCTATCCGATGCCGAGCATTAACAAATTAGTTGAAGCGGCTTCAGGCAATGAGAGGTTAAGCCTCTTGGATGCATATTCTGGGTATCACCAAGTGCCAATGGCTCCCGAAGATGAAGAGAAAACCTCGTTCTATGCTGGCGATGAAATTTATTGCTATGTCATGATGCCGTTTGGCTTAAAGAACGTTGGTGCTACTTATCAAAAAATGGTGACCATCGTCTTTCGAGCTCAGATCGGCAAGAATCTGGACGTGTATGTCGATGACGTCGTAGTAAAGAGCCGGAAAGCAGAAGACCATCTAGCCGATCTCGATGAAACCTTCAACAACCTCAGAAAGAACAGGATGCAGTTGAATCCAGCCAAATGTATTTTCAGCGTGGAGTCTGGAAAGTTTCTGGGTTTCATGGTGTCCCGAAGAGGGATTGAGGTCAATCCAGAAAAAATTAGAGCAATTGCCGAGATGGAACCACCGAAATCAGTAAAAGATATACAGAGGTTGACTGGAAGAGTGGCAGCCCTTCATCGATTCATATCGAAGTCAACAGATAAGTGCCTGCCATTCTTCAAGATCATGAGGTCGGCTGCCCAGAAGGATGAATC